CCTCCGCGCAAGAGGGGCCGGGGTTGGGGGGCGTCAGTCGGGGCGAGCGCCGCCGTTTGTGCGGGGAAAGGACGCGGCCTTCGTGCGCTCAGCGCAGCTCCGGGGGGAACGGGGCGCAAACTGCCCACAGCCCGGCTCCGGCTATGAATAGCTAGCGTCGGTCCTGAAGGCATAGTTATCTCCATCCGTATTTACCCAAACAGCTTGGTTTATATCATATTAGGCATCCATTAGCGACTGCTTTCTCTTAAGCATTTAATATTTTCCATCCTTTTTGTGTCCTCCACCTTCTTGCCTCTTGAGTAGGCCAGCCTAACATTTAAGCTCGATCTGTGGTACTTACAGCACTGGAATGAGCTGGGCACATTCTGAACGGAATTATTTTTCTTTCCAGAATCTAGTAGTCATTTTCTGACTTGAAGATGCTAAACGGAATATTTTTTTTCTAAGTCATAACTGTTATATTTCTTTTAGGCTTCATGTTAAAGTTTCTGTAGATTTGTTAATTTAAAAAAAAAATAGTGTACAACTTGTGCTCTAAGCAAATCCTTCTAAAATTATTAAGTTTCTTCACCTGCCTAGTTGGTGACAAAACGAAAACAGCATATTTTAAAAGTAAGATTCCCTAATGAAAGCCTGTGTTGTAGCTGCAATATCCTAAAAGCAACTGCTCTTCAGATTTATTTAAATATTTTTTTCTGATGTTGCCCTCTGGTGGAGGGTTAAAGAAGTTTTACAGCAGCAAAGCACGTTTATACAAAAGATGATTTATTTTAATATTGAAATTCCCATAATGATTAATCCGTGTGTAGAATTTCAATATGTCCTTCCAAAGTTGCTAAAGTACTACAGAGTAATAGAGTCGAACATAAATTAGAACTAGATGTAATTGAAATGTTGCTAATTAGCACCATAACCCAGAATTGTCATGGTAGGTACTGAAGGGGCCTTTCTGCACAGGTTTCAGTGCAGCATTTTCACTATGATTACGCTGCCAAAAGGATTTTTCCCAGGACATGCGAAGCTGCACAGTTATGTAAGCAAGTCTCCCCAGTGTTTCATGGCTCCAGTGTGCCACTGCAGATGCTCAAAGGAAACCCGTATTAACAGATTTTTTTGAGGGGCAGCAGGAACAGGAAATTGTTTAGCAGGGATGAAATGGGATTGGATTCCATAACACAAGCTTTTCAGAAAAGTACTAAGCACTTTTCTGAGCTGGAATTTGAGAATCTAAAATGCTTTGTTTATTTGCACACCATATACAGGGAGCTCTGGCCATTTTTTTCAGAAAGCTCAACACTGGCATATTTTTGATGCTATGGCTACTAAGTAGCAGCAATAATTCTTAGCAAAATAATTACATTTCATAAGTAAATAGTGATTGATTTGGGAAAGATAAATAATATATTGTATCACATGAAAAGGCATTTAGAGGCTAGATGAGACAGTCCTGGGTGTAGACTCTTACTAGAGGGGAATTAGTCAGTCCTTAGTTGGATAAAATATGCAAAATAGCCAACAACCCTGGTACAGTAAAATGTTAAGTGACTAGGCCGCTGCTGTAGCCATCTGAAGTGGAAATTTTATGTCTATCAGGTGTTATACCAAGATCCTGAGTCGCATCCTGATCAAGCTCAGCTGTTTTGGTTTCACATGAAGCACTATGAAGAGCAGTAGAAAGCTAACGTCATTAGCATTATAAAATATGTACAAACTTGTCAAATTTTTAACGTTATTTTATTTAACCTTGTTAGAATAAGTCATTTCCAGAGGAAACAACACATAGTGTTAATATATGTCATCAAAATTGTTATCAATAATTATTTCTATAATGAATACATGTCACAGACAGACTCCTCTCACGGCCTAATTCAAACTCCAGTGAAATCACTGTGAGTTCTTTCCACTGGTGTCAGTGGCAGGTGAAATAGGATGTTATGCAGAAAATACTAGTCCAGATATCACCACTAAGTATTCACGTATTGACCAGAGAGATTCAATCAAATGTCACCCAGTAAAATACACAGTTCTGAAAAAGTCCAAGAATATCTGTGGGATGATAGGGTATGCCTGCAGTTTTTCACATAGAGCAGAAACCTTATTGTTTCATCCTGAAATCTTGTAATTAAATACAGTTCTCTTTGCCTGACAAGTTTTCCTTTTTCTTGTGTGAAGACTAAAGGACTGAGTCCTTACCTGCCCCTTTGTTTCTATAAATAGTTCCTTTATACAAGTTTTTGACTGAGCTATTTCAACAAGTTAACTGAAAGAGATGAGGAGTTACAGATGTGGTTCTTAGCTTGGTTTTTCTTCTTACTATATATGTAATCTCTAAATTTTCCACAATAAACCTCAGAATAGTGCCTAAATGTAGTATAATCCTTTTAGGGCACTATGAAATAAACACAGCAATATACATTTCTCTAAGTTTTAGTCTTGCTAAAGCAAACTAACTAACCCTAAGTTAAAATTTTTATCAGTGATGCATACCAGTGATTTAAAAATAAAAAATATTTAAATTTCATTTTTGATCTTATCTTTGCTGCTGATACTGCAGTATAGATTTGCTCTTTCCCAAGTGTCACGCATGCAGGTTTTATAAATTAATATGCATTTTATGATCCATTTTGAAAAATAGTAATATTTTGAAATAATCATTATTTTGAAAAATAATTATTCAAACAGATAAAATCTGAAAGATTCTGTTTGCTCTGTCTACTTAAAGGTGACAAAATATTGCTATTGATACAGTATCAACTTCAGAAATAAATGATGTGCTTAAAATCTTAATTATGCCATTAAATGCATGTCTTTAAGATAGAGTCATTTGGGACTGAGGAGACCATAAACATGCCTCAGAAATTATGGTGTAATTCTCACTGCTATTTATGGTAGCTGTCCATTGAATCCAAATGGAATTTGATGTGACCTCAAGAACAAAGCAATTTTTTACCTTCTTTTGATACATAATAGAGGACAGAAGTTACACCCTAATTTTTCAGGGGGATTTCTAAGCCAAACTGGAGGTAATTTTCCCAGAAATTTCTGCACTGACATAGATGGTGAAATACTCTAATGACTTGCTGCAAACCCCAGTATTTAGAAAGTTGCTGTTGCTTTCCAAGAAGGTAGTAACTATCATTTTTTAAAAAGAAAAAAAGGCATAGAAGTATCTGAAAGCTGCACTTTTTTGTGTGTGTGTTAAGGAATAGCTTGTTTTTAAGCGCATACATTCATAGTGTTAACTCTCATGGCAGTGCCTGGTTTTCAGATAATCCCAGGTGTGTTTGGCTCGGGTAGCAGGGCAGGTTCATTATCCTGTTGAAGCTGTTGCTTCCCCCCTCTAGTGGCAAAAGCCATTAAGGCACTAGAAGTGCAGTCTATGTCCTACTAGTGCAGCGGATTTCACTGTGAAAAAAAAACAGACAAACAAACAAAATAACCAAACCACGAGGTGATTTGTAGTTACCATATATGACTAATCCATGGCTGGAAATTTCCCCATTGCACTACATAAAGATTTATTTATTTCCTTCTTCCCTTTCCTGTTTAAAATCTTGTTTGTTTTTAATATTAGCAACTAGATTTTTTAAAATTCTAATAAAATTTCACCCAATGGAAAAGTCCTTTTAAGTCACAAAAGGAATTATATTTGTATTAGAAACCTTGTCTTTTTTTTTTTTTTTTTTTTTTTTTTTTTTTTTTTTTTTT